GGTATTTGTCACATTTATCTCTCTCTATCTCTTACCTCTCTCTAGCTCTCTTTCTCTCTCCAAATTTCAGTTGAATGCGCCAATAATAATAGCACATTTAGAATACGTTATTTTATTTGGCGCATTCTAAATGCACCATTTTATTTAATGCATTTGCTAATTTTTAAATTTTATGTTAAATATGCTCCTTTAGCTAATTCTAAGGCTTAGTATGCCCCTTCATAAAATAACGCCTTATTTTAATATAGCTCAACTATACCACCACCCTTGAAGAGTTGACGACAAAGTAGAAACTGGAGCAGAGCCACATATTGTACTTTTTTTAAGAATGTATTATTCCAAAAATTAAAACTTTCACTACAGACCAAATTTCAAATTTATAGGTTTTAAAACAGCTGCTATAGACCCATTGTACAGCTTTATATGTGTTAAAACTGCTGTTTGACAGTAGATTTGTAGTAGTTGAAACCACTAATAAAATTATTGCTGCTAAAAATTTATCTAATATAACACTTTAAAAAGCACTGAAGAAGCATTTGCAGCGATAACAAATATGACATATGTGTAGGGATTCTTAAATCATTGCAAGAGAAATAGTAGGTGTTTTAGTCGCTACCGTAGGTTAAAAAAGTATTATGAATAAAACAATCACTTTGAGAATAACCGTTGATGAAGAATTGAAATTGTTTGAGTTCCTCCGATTACGAGAGAAATTATTATGTTTAAAGTCTGGAAATAGCTCGCATTCAAACTCCAATGAAATCAAGTCATATGATTTGTGCACTCTATGTACAACTAGTACACATAAGCCATGTGACTTAATTTTATTGGAGCCTTGAACACATCCGAAATCTGCATGTAATAATTTCTCTAATGATGGATGATAAATTTATCAAATTTTGTTAGTGCTTTGATAAATATTCAAATATCGAATAAAAATTTTAAGTTTTTCTTAGGACTAGCTTATTATAGTTTGTTATAATATTTATATAATCTTTTTAGTAGCTCATATAAGCGAGATGTTGTAAGGAGGGTACATTGATGAATATTATGACATTTTGAAGCTTAGTGCTTGTGTTTGTTTCTTGGATTGAGATTTTCTTCTTGCATCATCTTCTTTCAACTATCCAACAATATTATACTCCTCACATCAGTTGATATCAGAGCCTAGAGCTTGCGAAGAATGATTGTCTGAAGAAGAAGATGGGTTGTCGGCGATGATCGAAGCTGAAGAAAATGGGCGGTCGACGAAGATCGACGCCGAATAAGATGGGCGGTCGATGACGATAGATGTCGAAGGAGATGGGCGGTCGACAACGATTGACGCCGACGGAGATGGGAGGTCGACGAGTATCCTCCACTCCAACTTCAATTCCAATGGAGAGATTCGCCACCCCACTATCCTCCGCTCCAATGGCGGAATCTCGACCAAACCGATGCCGCATGCCGCCTACATTCAGCACTGCTAATTTCATCTCCAATCCTTCACAATCAAAATTGAAGTCCGATCGAGACATCAATGGTTTGTCTCTGCTTTCCGCGCCAAAGAAGGAACCCAGTCCCATTTCCCGCAATTCCACCTCCGATTCCTCTCGTAATCCCATACCTGATGAAGTTGTCGTTCCTACTATGGAAACACATGATTTCGATTCTTCCTCTGCTTCCTCTCAGGACCAAACACTGGATGAACACGCTCCCTTGGCTCCCTCTCTTGATCCACCAGGTCCCCTGATTCGTGTCTTCACGTTCCCCGCTCATGTATCTCGTCTGTAACCTGTCCAGCCACCGGCGGCCCAACCATCCTTTCTCGCATGCGCCTAACGCCCGTGCAGTCAACCAATCCACTACATCGGAAACTGTATCAATTTTTGCTGAATTAGATATGGATAAGTTATTCGGTGGAATCGTTAATGCCATATCATGCAACGCATCGATTGGAGGTGACGCCCTTTTCGACGATAAACGATGTTATGATGTATGCTCTAGTCCTGTTTGTCGGCATCCTTCACTACCAAAAAAAATAGCCTTTCGTTCAAATTGATTACTTTAACAGCACCAGGCAACAATTGGATGAATTCTTAGGCAAGATTAAAGCCGGGGAACTAGTGCAGAAGGCAATTTTCTCAATCACCATTGGAGCAAATGATTTCCTTAACAACTACGTACCTGACTTTCATATCAGATTTCGAAGCCCCAGATGCATATATAAATCGTCTCATGATTGCACTAAAAGACCAGCTTACAGTAAGCTCATTTCCCAACATTCATGCTCTCTAGGGTCATAAAAAAAAGACTGATATCCACATACATATCGACTATAAGTAAACGTGACAAACAAAACACGTTTTTTAGCAATGCATGATTAGAGAAATGAATAAGTAGGACATCATGAATAAGATTTTTCATCTCGTTCATGAGCTAAACCTTGTGTTCAGCTTGATAGTTAAAAACAGAACATAATAAAATAATTAGCAGTCCATGAATTTGAATTTAAAGATTGAACTGTCCTTGTGTAAAATTTAACTAATTGCGCTTTAAATCTGTGGATCAATGCAGAGGCTTTACCAACTTGATGCAAGAAAAATAGTGATGGGGAGTATTGTTCCAATTGGATGCGTTCCTTATCAAACATCCTTAGCTCCACTTGATGAAACTGGTTGTGCTGCATTGCCTAACCAGTTGGCTATCAAGTATAATGGAAAATTGCGTGATTTGCTTACTGAACTAAAATTCAAATCTTCCCTGGATCAAATTTTCTTTATGCTAACTTGTATGATCTGTTAATGGACGTCATCACAAATCATCAATCCTATGGTAGGTTAGAATTCATATTTTGTATTCTTCTTCTTTAATATATAATAGGTTTAGTAATGCTAATAAATCTTGTGACAGGGTTTGAAACAGCAAGTGATGCTTGCTGTAGCAATGGAGGGATTCATGGAGGCATAATTGCTTGTGGCCCAGGATCCGAACTTCCATTTCCATATAGATTATATGAACTATAAGAAGCTAAAACACAAATCCATAATCAATTTCTAAGATGCAGAAAAAACAGTTCAAAACGTCTGATCCCGAATGTCAGAAACTCATATTTATATATGAAAATAAGATGATTCTATTGCATAAAACATAACAAAGAAAAAATAAAATGAATAACACGACATTGAGTGAACTGTAACAAATGAAACCTAAAGAAGCCCATTCATTGTCAACAATTAAAAAATCTTTTTTCCTGTAGCTATTACGTCCTGCAGCTACTCCTTGGGAGTCGGCATGTTTGTTGGAATGAACAAAAACATACTAAACAAAAGAAAAACCTACAGAAAAATCTACAGAGAAACTACAAAAAGTTTTCGTTAGAATGAAAGCATTGGCGCCGGCATCGGCGTCGGCCTCGGCTCGGCGATGTACTTTAGGATTGGTAATTTGCAAACTAGATTTTCATTGTTGTTTCTTTTCTTCCATTTAATTTCTGATTTTAGGGATTAATATAAAGAAACAAGAAGAAGAATGAGAAGAAGAGGGAGAACAACATGAAGAAGAAGAATGAGAAGAAGAAGAGGAAGAAGGTGAAGAGACTTACCGTGATCACGAAAGGCCGCCGGCCGGGATTCGCCTTAGAGCTGCGACGGCTATCGAGCACGCGCCGACACTCTTTCGGAATAGCTAGCACGGAGGAGGAAGGGTTTTTTCCGAAAGTGAATTAGGGCTTGGCCGATTCGCTTGGCGTTAAATTGAGTTAAAAATATTGCACCGATTATAACCGGTGCAAAAAGTATGTTTTTGCACCGGTTTCAAAACCGCTGCAATAAAACTGATGCAAAAAGTGTTATTTTTTGTTAGAGCTTCTTACATTGTAGGTGGAATAGATGAATGTGGTCATGGATATGTACCCAGTATTGGTGGATTCTCAAATGCAACATCATCACCTGGATGGAGCTCAGCTACTCGCACTCTCTCACCCACTGTAGAAGACTCACGCTTGTGGTCTTCAGAGCTCGATAGCAGCCGTATCGCATCGGCGATGAGGTTCGAGGAGCATGGTTGTTCGAGAAGATCCAATCCTTCCATGTACAAGATAATATAACCAAAAGCCACACTCCTCCTGCCAAAGGCGTCACAATGGACATGTCGTTGCATCCAGACTATGTTCTATCGGATTTTCTGCCATTAAAAAGGTGCGACAAAGATGTAGAAGATGAAGCAGATGATGGAAGCAAGCACGAGGGAAGCAAGAAAAAAGGTGCCACTCTCATAAAACAGACTGTCGCTGCGATATGTGTTGCAAGGGAAGCTTCTCTAATTCTAATAAGGTACAGGGTCTCACACAAGTTTTAGAATACATACTCTTCATGGGGAGTTCTGAATTTTCGGATACGAGTGAGTATGATAGTTACCTTTCACAACCAGGAGGTTATTATCATGCTTACACTGAGACCTGCTACCAGTTTAAAATTGATTATGAGTACCTAAAAAGAGCTTTAAACAAAATATCTCAATTATCAGTAACACCCCTGTTTAAGCTGAAGCTATGGAAAGAGATTTTTTGGGAAAATAAGAAAAGCTTGGTTCATGCGATGGAAAATACAGATAAATTACGGGAAGAAATCTTGTTGATGTGAAGGAGAAACTGTCTTGGTGATATATTGAAACTTGTGTTTGCTACATACGAACTGAAAGTTGATTCTTTGGTGCAGAAACCAGCTCGTAAGCTGTTTGATGAAATGCCACAGAGAGTTTCCATCTCTTGGAATGATATGTTTCAAGTGCTTGTAAAGAATCATTTCTCTGAACTACGCATACCTCCTCTAGTTCAGATTCTGGAGACGGGTTCTTCAAAGGCCTAGGAGGATTCTGCCAAGGACCTTGGGAAACTCTGTAATTACAGCAAGAATATTAGAGCATATGTACAAATCACTGATGATGTTCCTGCTTTCTTATGGTTGCTGAAAAATCTTTTGTTGGTATTTAAAATTTTCAACCTATGGGGATTGCTTATATTTTCTGAGTTTGAATTTTCTTCTTGCATCGTCTTCTTCGAACAAACTAACGATTATACACCCCACAACATTTTATACATGGAAATATTTAATATTCCGAACTGAAACACTTGCAAATAATCTTTTATAACGCTTTGACTAGAATAGGAGAACACTAATATTATTTTAATCATATTTTCATGGTGTAGAGGCCGCAGATCATCATGCAATCTGAAGACCATCACGCCATTCACTATGCACCATCTTCACTTCCCCTTCAACATGTGCTTCTCCTTCCACCACCTCCATCACCGCCGTAGTCGTCGGAACCTTCCTAAGCTCTTCTAGGAGCTTATCGAGCGTCTCATAAGACGACCCTCCCTTCACCACTGCAGCCTTAGCTTTCTCCGCCAGCTCAGCCGCCCTCTCCCTAGCCCTCCTCCCCTTCTCCCCTTCCATTAGCTCTCTCACCCCTTCTTCCACTTCCTTCCTTCCAACCACCACTCCCGCCGCCGGGATTCGGAGCCTTATCCCAACGCCGATCACCTCCGCCACCATCTTCGCATTCAACCATTGTTCCGCAATCATCGGCCAAGTCAGCAACGCCACGCCTGCCGACACCGCCTCAAGCACCGAGTTCCAGCCGCAGTGGCTCACGAATCCTCCGATTGCCACGTGGCTCAACACCTGCTTTTGTGGAACCCACCCTCTTTCTATCCTCCCCAAATCTACAGAACGTTTGGGTGGCCGCCATGTTTCCGACCGCACGGCCCATAGGAATGGGATCCCGGCCAGAACCAGTCCGTGGGCTACCTCGTCCAGCTGTTCATCTGAAATCTCCACCTGCGTTCCGAACGCCACGTAGATGACCGATCCATCGGGCTGCCGGTCGAGCCACCGAATGCACTCCGACTCAGAGCTGGGCTTCTCCACCGGTTCGGTTTCGGTGAGGAGGTTTAGCGGGCCGACGAGCCAAACTCGGCCTCCGGCCACCGGTCCGTAGAACGATTCAAGGAGTTGAACGTATGCCGGCGGTTCGATATCGGCGAAGCTGTTGACAATCACTCCCCAACTCTCGGTGTCTATTGGTCCGGTCGACTCTAAAACCTGATTCGCCGTTTCAGGCGGATCGACTGAGTTGATCACGGCTTCCGGTAAATCGGCTAAGGTTAGCTGGATCTCCGGCGGTGCTCCGGGGACCGAAAAGGGCTCATCTTTGGGAATATTGTTCCAGAGTGACTTGATGAGCGACATGGAGAAGGTGGACATGCCGTGGAATACGAGGCGTGGGAGGCCGAAGCGGCGGCAGATGGTGAGAGTCCAGCCTAGGAAGAAATCGGAGATGAGGCAGAGGGGAGGGGATGGGGAGCGGAGGAGGCTGCGGACAAGGCGGAGGAAGGGGTCGTGGAGGGAGGTGGTTGCGCCAAGAAAGGTCGGGAAAAGGGAGAATGAGGGTAGGGAATCGGAGGACTCGACGCCGGCGGGGAGATTGGGGTGGTTGGGGAAGGGTAGGATCAGAAGCTGGATTTTGGCGGCGTTGGCGCCGGAAGAAGAGAGGTAGCGGCGGAAGAAGGGCACGTTGGCCGGAGTTGTGAAGAGAGTGATGAGGATGTTGCGGGAGGAAAGGGCGGCAGCGAGGTGGAGGAGGGGGATGGTATGGCCTTTGGATAAGAAAGGGAAGATGAGCACGTGATCTTCTTTCTCAGCGGCAACCATGGCGGAGGTGGTCATCTTTGACGTTAAGAAGGAGAAGGCAATACGTTTACAAGCTCTCAGGAGTTTCTCAAAGAGTTATTAGGGGGAGGGGATTAGTTAAATACGCGAAATTTTGAAAAATGACTAAAAAAGAAACAAGCAGTCGGGTACAACTAATCAAGCATAGCTTAGGCTTAATGCTTTGTTAATTTAGTTTCTATCTGTTTCTCTGTCCATCACTACCTCACTCTCTCTATAAGAACATAATTTTTTTAACAAAATTGAGATTTTATTTTTTGCGTTAAAGATTTGTTTTACTTTTTTTTTTTTTTTTGAAAATTATAAGAATAGTTTATGAATTTTGTTTGTGATCAGACCTGCTCTAACCAAAATTTTGATGATCAAATTTTTATTACATTTTTTCTTGAAAGGAATCGTAATATTAAATTAATGTGCTAGAACGCAGCTTTAAAAAAATAATTAAAAAGCTGTCTCAAATGTAGTCTAAGCGTCGTAAAACTAGTGTAATGAGATTGAGTTAGTTGGATACTCACCTAATCAAACATGACTCACATTATCAACTAAGTTCTATTTGACTTATCCTATAATCAATCGAACCAAGTCTATAATGTCGAAATACTTTGCAAGTTAGGGCAATACGTTTGATTCTTATCATGACATAAAAAGATTAATTGATTAAACTTCTATAATAAACATGATTACAAGATAATTCAAAGGTAATTTTTTGTAATGATACATAACTACATCAAATTTTCACAAATATTATTACAACAAGCAGCACAACCAAGCACATGAGAAATTATCACACTCACATGTTCGTAACAAATCGTGTACTAAGTTTGTTACTAGAATAAGTATATCTATGTTGTGAGCTCACTGTTTGGGTATGAAATAGACTACAAGCTTACTCCCTCTGTTATTCTCTTCTATTCCTCTACTAACCCTTTCTTCATTAAGTCATCAAATATAAGGAGGTGAGAGAAGCCCTTGACCTCTTAGGCTCTTAAATTTAAAAAAAAAAAAAAATGAGGAAGGAATCAAGGATCTTCTAGAAGTCTAGTCTTGAGAAAAAAATTCTTTAATCTTCAGGCAGCTTTGGAATAATTTTCTCCTGATCTCTAGAAGGTGGAGTTGCTTATTGAAGCAATTTGACAAAATTGAGGCAAACAAAATTAGACCAACCATCCTATTAATAAGATCGAGCAAAGCTTCCACTCTCGATTATAGTAACTTGGCAGATGAATGAGTTGGAGCTTTTGGTTCTAATATGAGATGAATAAATTTTAATTAGAATGAGTCTCTATGTGATGGCTTTCTTTATGCTTCTTAAAACAGCTTTTTAGTACAAAAATTTTTAATTTTGTATTAAAAAGCTATTTTAAGAAGCATAAAGAAAGCTGTCACAAACGAAGCCTGATTCTATCTGTGATTTAAGCTTGCTTGTGACAGTTTTTTTGCTACTTTTTAAAGCAGTTTTTTAGTATAATTGTTTTTTTTATGTTGGAGAGCTATTTTAGACTAGTCTATTTTTAGGACAGCTTTCTTAACTGGTTTGTTTTTCAAATCGTAATCATAATTTTTTTTAGTCATTATTTTTTCACCTCTTCTAATAAATTTTTGTACTAGAAGCTGCTATCTTCACAATATCTATACAATCATATTTATAAATAGTTGCACTGTAGTTGTTCCAAATTCCAAACCCTTAATTTGTATTTGAGATAAGTATAATATATGAAAAATCGACTAATAGATCACTATGAGACATTTAGTTCAGGACTAATAGATCACTATGAGACATTAAGTTCAAAGATAGCTTATGAGTATTATATGTTAATAAATAGTTTATGAATGAAATAATAAGAATTAATTATTTCTTTTTTTTTTAATCTTTATGCAATGTGGTTTGAATATGATAAAAATTTAATTGAATTGGTACAAATATGATATATTTTTATAGTTTTATCCACCATTTTAACTAAGTGCTAATATATCATAGACTTTAATCAAATGTTGTTCAAGCTAAATGGCAATTTGCAAAACTAATCTTCTTAGCTTGCTATATATATATATACTCATGTTGTAATTGTGATATAATTGATCTCAATTTTATTCCAAAGGAATTATTTTTTATTACTTTTATATAATCAAAAGATTAAATTGAAATTATATAATATTTTAGAACTAAAATTATCATATAAAAAAGTAGGATTATTTTTTTATAACTATATAAGATTCTCATAATTAGAAAAAAAATAAATATGAAAAATAACATTTGATGTCTTAGTCCGGTAGAACGGTGCAATAAGATGAATGGGCATTGACATCTGCGTAACTGCTTCGAGGTCATTAACGCATGATAAATGTGCATAATGTAAACGGGTTAGCCAAATGTGTTATTTACTTTAGTGCCATTTTCTTAGCTCTTTAAATACTGTATACAGACTGTTTTTCTCCATTAACAAAGATTACATTTCTTCTATCTCTCGTTTGTTTCACCCGTCTTCCTTCTTCCTTTCTTTCATGGTATCAAGAGCTAGTCCATGACAGATCAAGAATCCGTGACTTCCCTCCCTCCCTCTCCCGCAGCATCTTCCGGTGACACCACCGAACTGCATATTCCGGCACCTCTCAAATTTCTAATCTCCAACATCAAGAACCTGGTTTCGCACGCCCTCACCGTGGATAATTACGCCATTTGGCGTATACAGTTACTACAGCAATTCACTGCCAATGGGTACGCCGGTCATCTCACCAGAACGACTCCATGTCCATCCGACGTCAATACCTTCGCCTTCCAACGATGGAAGCTCGTCGACAACAATCTTCTTTCTGCTTTGTTCTTAACAGTTTCCCCCACGATCCTCCCCTACATTATCTCCTCATCCACTGCCAGTGAAGCATGGACAATTCTTCAATGTCGTCTTCAACCCTCCTGCCGGTCACGCTCCATCCAGCTCAAGAACGAGCTACACACGGTCCAGATGCGTGATCTCACCATGCAGCAGTATCTTACCCGAATAAAAATCATAGTCGACAACATCGCAGCTTCCGGCTCTCACGTCGACGTTGAAGACGTTATCATCTACATTTTAAATGGCCTTCCTTCATCTTACAATTCCTTCAAAGCAGCCATCCGTACCTACCCTCTTCCTCTTGATCTTGACATTATGTATTCTATGCTCTGTAGCGAAGAAATAAATGTGCAGTAAGAACTGGCGAAAGACACCGCTGCATCTTCAGGCGCCACCGCTCTCTACACAACCTCCGCAAATCAGACCCGAGGACAATCTCAACGCCGTTTCAGCAAACCCAAGAACTACGTGTCCAACGCCACACCGAACATTTCACAGGGTTCAACCAATACTCCAGTTGCCAATTCCGGCTCCAGACCAACTTGCCAAATTTGCAACAAGATTGGACACATTGCCTTAAACTGTTGGCACAGGAACAATCCTAATTATGCGCCAACCTCCCAAAGACCGATCCCTGCGTTTCTTGCTCAACAGAACACATCGGCCAATCAAGACTGGATCCTCAACTCAGGCGCTTCCAACCACCTAACACCGGATCTCAATGTCCTCCGTCAACCGTTCTCGTATCAAGGCTCAGACAGTGTATCCATCGCCAACGGATCTCACCTTCCAGTCGCACATTCCGGTCAGGGTATCCTTCCCCTTCCTGACACTCCTCGTAAGCTCTTCCTACGAAAACTTCTTCATGTTCCTCTTCTGTCTCACAATTTACTTTCTGTTTCCCAACTTACTACTGACAATCCTATTTCCATAAGTTTTGACGCTAATGGCTGTGAAATTAAGAACCTTCAAGACCACCGTCGGCTTCTTCGTGGGCCTCTACGTGACGGGCTGTACCACATTCCAAAAGTTTCTGCTCCTCGCGTCACTGCCTTCTCCACAAATCTCCAACAAGAACACCTCTGGCACAACCGCCTCGGGCATCCTCATCACCGGCTACTTCACATTCTTCGTCGCCATATACCTCATCTAGATCACATTTCTGCATCTATTTCTTGTAAATCCTGTAACACTGCCAAGAGTCATAAACTCGTTTTTAATAAAACTGGCTCTACTTCTGTACGCCCTTTTGATATTGTGCAATCCGATGTATGGGGACCGGCCCCTACTCCCTCTATTGAAGGATTTCGATACTATGTATTCTTTATTGATGATTTCTCGCGGTTCTCTTGGATGTATCTCATGCATAATAAACATGAAACTTTCTTAAAATTTAAACTCTTTTGTCAGTTTATTCATACCCAGTATAACAGGACTCCGAAGGTTCTTAGATCAGACGGCGGAGGCGAGTACAGCAGCATTGAGTTCACTTCCTTCCTGAACCTTCACGGCATACAACGGCAACTCTGCTGTCCTCATACCCCTGAGCAGAATGGACTGGCCGAATGAAAACACAGGCACATTCTCGAGCTCACCCGCACTCTGCTTCAAGAATCCAATCTACTGCACAGTCTTTGGGCCGACGCAGCTGCCACCGCGAACTACTTAATCAACAAACTTCCCTCGTCCTCTATCGATTTCCAAACTCCAATTTATCGTCTAAATGGCCGACCTCCTCAGTACGATCACCTTCGCATCTTTGGTTACCAGTGCTTTCCCTGGCTTCGCCCGTATGTGGACAACAAGCTCTCTCCTCGGTCCAGGGAATGCGTCTTCATTGGGTACTCTCCCATTCAAAAAGGGTACAAGTGCCTCGACATACAGACTGGGAAGACCTTCATATCTCGTCATGTTCACTTCAACGAGCTTCATTTTCCCTTCCAACATCTACCCAACAATTCTCCATCTTCACAGCCATCATCTACGATTTCACCTCTCCTACTGGTGCCCACATCCGTTAGTCATCCATCTCAATCCACTATACATCCTCAAAAAGAAACCAATCCTGCCCACTCTACTGCCTCTATACCACCTGCTCCTCCAACCCAACAACCACCGGATCCTCAGCCTACCTCCAAACAATCAGCCCCTGCTCTCTCATCACATCCTATGCAGACGAGATTTAAGTCGGGTATTACCAAACCCAAACAGATTTTATCTCTTCTCAGCAAGGCTGCTCCTTCTTCCACTCCCACATCTTACGCTCAAGCTGTCAAACACCCTCAATGGCGCACAACAATGATGGAAGAATTTCAGGCACTCCTTCGACAAGGCACTTGGACTCTCGTCCCGGCTCCGCCCAATACCTCCATTATCGGCTGTAAGTGGACCTACAAAACCAAATTACTACCAAATGGGGAAATTGATCGTTACAAGGCGTGACTCGTTGCACAAGGCTACGACCAACAATATGGCATTCACTACCGAGAGACCTTCAGCCCCGTCGCTAAGATGCCTACTATTCGCATCCTTCTCACCATTGCCGTCACTCGACAATGGTCAATTCTGCAGCTCGATGTCTCCAACGCTTTTCTCCATGGTGATCTTGCCGAAGAATTCTATATGCGGCAACCTCCAGGCTTTGAGGACACCGCCTTTCCCTCATCCGTCTGCAAACTCAACAAATCTCTATACGGTCTCAAGCAAGCTCCCCGGCAATGGTTTGAGAAATTAACCGGTTATCTTCAGGATCAAGGCTTCAGGTTCAGTCGTTTCGACCCTTCGCTTCTACTCTTTCAACACAATTCTATCAAATATTTCTTTTAATCTACGTGGATGATATTATTGTGACAGGCAATGATCAAGTGGCTATTCAAAGCCTCCTCACCAAACTCAAGTCGCAATTCGCCCTTCGTCAGCTCGGACACATTTCCCTTTTCCTCGGGATTCAAGTGATCCGGCGGCCCTCCGGACTGTTCCTAACACAACAACACTATGCACAAAAACTTCTCGACGACTCGGGTTTCGCGGATTGCAAACCGACCAGCACGCCTACTTCACCAAAGACGCCCGCTACCGAGGCCAACACTCAGATGTTCGACAATCCTTCCCTCTATCGTCGACTCGCCGGCTCGCTCCAATATCTTTCCATCACTCGTCCCGATATCGCCTTCGCCACTAACCAGATTTGTCAACATATGCACAAGCCTACAATTGCAGATTTTCAATCTCTCAAGCGACTCTTGCGGTATATTAAAGGCACCATCAGCTTCGGTTTGCCCATCACTCCCGGAGACCTGACCATTCAGACATTTACGGATGCGGACTGGGCATCTGATGCATCCGATCGGAAGTCTATTTCCGGATACTGCATCTTCTTGGGACCGAACTTGATCTCCTAGTCATTTAATAAACAAGTTACGGTCGCCAAATCCTCCACCAAAGCTGAATATCGCTCGCTCTCTGCTGCAACTTCGGATGTTATCTGGCTCCGACGACTGGTCGCCGAACTTGATCTTCCTCAGCACACCGCGACCATCATACACTGTGACAATACATCAGCCATTGCCCTGGCCAAAAACCCGGTCTTTCATGCTCGCACCAAGCACATAGAGATCGACTACCAATTTGTGCGTCAACACATTAACTCCGGGGCAATCACGATTCAACATATCTCTTCCGCCGATCAAGCAGCGGACATCTTAACCAAACATTTTTCTCCTACCCGTTTTCATGAACTCAGACGCAAATTAACCATTCAACCCATGAATGCTTAATTTGAGGGAGGCTGTAAACGAGTTAGCCAAATGTGTTATTTACTTTAGTGCCATTTTCTTAACTCTTTAAATACTGTATACAGACTGTTTTTCTCCATTAATAAAGATTACATTTCTTCTATCTCTCGTTTGTTTCATCCGTCTTCCTTCTTCCTCAAGTTCTTTCACATAAATGTCTATTTAACACTTAGTTCTGCACATTTATGATTTGCTGAAATTTGCTATAATTATTCGAGGGATAAGTTTTTAAAATGCTGTCACTTATTAATTATTTTGACTAAAAACAATTAAAAATGATGTAAATTATTTGGTAACCCAACGAATGACTCTGACGGGGCAAAATCCATGTGGCAAAGGGTTTTCGGGCGCAAGTGGGACGAGTCGGGTATTATTAGGCTTGATGGGGCAAAGGGTCTTCGAGCACAGGAGGGATGGGTCGGCTCTTAGCCTCTTAGGCATGGATGGATTGATGTGGTCATGAGTCTAGATCAAGGCAAGACAACTTAACGACTGGTAAGCCAAATCATTTAAAAAGGAAACTACTTGCCCATTTTGCCCATTAAAAAAATAAAATCAAAATTTTATTATAGTAAAATTAATAAATTAAATTAGTAAATTATTTTTTAGTAAAATTAATAAATTAGATTAGTAAATTATATTTTAGTAAATTTAATAAATTAAATTAGTATATTGTATTATAGTAAAATTAATATATAATTTGAGAAGTCGTTTACTATTTAAAAGGCTTGCTCAAATAATATATTAATTTATTAATATTATTATAGTTTATAAAAATTTGTCCATTTCTTGCTCTACAAAGTCAAATTAATAAATTAGATTTTAGTAAATTAATCAATTAAATTAGTACATTTTACTATAATAAAATTAATAAATTAAATTAGTACATTTATTACTGTAAAATCAATAAATTAAATTAATATATAATATGAGAAGTGGTTTACTATTTAAACGACTTGCTCATATAATATATTAATATATTAATTGTACTATAATTTAATTTAGTAGTTTAATTTATTAATTTTACTAACATATAATATATTAATTTAATTTGTTAATTTTACTAAAAAATAATTTGCTAATTTAACATATTAATTTAATTTTATTAGTTTTACTATAATATAATTTACTAATTGTACTGAAATATAATTTACTAATTTAATTTATTAATTTTGCTGTAATATAATTCACTTATTAATTTATTAATTTAATTTGTTAATTTTACTATAATAAAATTTACTGATTTTATTTTTTAATGGGCAAAATGGCTCTGAGGCAACGGCTCGCCCTTTCGCGATCGACCCGTCCTTCCTGTCTTGCCTCTCGTCGCTTGATCAGATCAATCCATCCAAGCCTAGGACCTGACCCGTCCCACATGAGCCCAAACACCTTTGCCATGTGGAGTTGCCCTGTCAGAGCATTGGATTACCAATAGGGGTGTCAATATTTGACTCGACATGAAAACCCGACCCTGAAAATTTGGGTTGGACCCGACCCGATTTCAAAATGGGTCGGGTTCGGGTTCCAAAAATTGACCCATTTAAAAAACGGGTCAGGTTCGGGTTGACCCGGCGGGTTGCCGGGTCAACCCGGAAACTGTTTAATTCAAAAAATTTCGAATCCCGCAGCCGCCCGTTGCCCGCCCGCGCTTCAAGAAACAATATTATATTTTTAATATTTTACTTTAATATTTTATCATTTTGATCTATATGAAAAAGAAAAGTGATAAAATGCTGCATAATGCAAATCATCATAAGTTCATTCTGCATGGCAATCAAGCTCTAAGTATTTAAATTCTTAGGAAAAATATGCCCCACATTAGGGGTGTAACGAGTCAGGTTGAGCTTGAGCTTTATTACTTGTTTGAGTTGAGCTCGAGCTTGAGCTTTATTCTACGAGTTTAAGCCAGCTCATGAGGCGGCTCGTTTGCGTGAAAGAGAGAAATTTAAGCAATTATTATAATAAAATGGCTTAAAAAATAAAATATTAAAAGAAAATATAATAAAGAATAACATAATATAAGAAAATGATATAATTTCTAAATATTTTTTTAAAAATTTTGTTCTTAAAATTCTAAATACTAATGTATTTTAAGCGCATTTTTATATTAATATTTTTTAAATGAGTTGGCTCTCGAGCTAACGAGTCAAGTCAGGCTGAGCCCATACTTGACTTTTTAGCTCATCAGACATTTATCGAGTCGAGTCAAAACTGGTTCGCGAGTCAGCTACTCACTTATACCTACCCCCACATGCTTCAGATGCTTATTTTTATATTTAAGTACCAAGCCGGTGCCGGATTACTGAATCGATGCACACATGCATGGAACAGGCGAGCTAACTTTGTATTTACAAAGCAAATTGAGTTGGTAGGGTCTAATACTATAAACGATCTGCATATTGATTGATAACAAAGGCTTCAACAGGCTCTGAGCAAAATGCGAGCAGTTGGAACAATCTATTATTCTACTTAACATATTTTAATTACACTAGCACTAACAGCCACACTCTGTTACTTCTTAAAACACACACACAGCACTCTCACCATTATCTTTATTTGCTTAGTTCATATAACTGTTTGGGATCACAAGAGAAAATACATATATAGCCTTACTGATTAGAATTACAGAATTTTGATATACATGAAAATTAGTTCTGCTTGCGGCTAGTTCTTCTTCTTGTTCTGCGGTTCCTGCTTCCTGGAAATACCCACATCAGCTTGGTATCAGAGTTTCGATGGACTTGTGAACTGCCATAGGAGATTTATTCGTGGTTTTAGCATTATCAAGTCCAAAACTTTTAACTGGTGTAGTGAACAACAACGGAGATTTGAGACGATTAATGAAGTTCATACCACTGCGCCTATACTTGCACTTCCAAATTTCGGTAAGCCCTTCCAGGATGACACCGATGCATCGACAACAGGCATCGGAGTTGTTCTTTCACAAGATCATCGCCCCATTGAGTTTTTCAGCGAAAAACAAAGTGAATCCCGCACAAAATGGACAGTCTACGAGCAAGAGCTTTATGCCGTCATAAGGGCCTTTAAGCATTGGGAGCATTATCTTTTGCATCAAGATTTTGCGTTATGTACTGACCACCAAGCTCCCAAATACACCAATTCACATAAATCGAAATAACTGGCCTAGAGTGTTTAAAAGACCTGTATGCCTCAGACAGAGAGTTCCATAACATTTGGCACGCCTATGGAGCATGGGAACGACTCTTGGGCTTCTCCATCCATCATGGGTACCTATTTAATTAAAAATGATTTGCTCTACATCCATGTATTATCCTGGGTCATCAATTAATTAAAGAGATTCATTGTAATTGTCTTGCCGCTCATGTGCGAAGAGACAAAAGTGTTGAATAGCTGCAATTGCGTTTTTTTTTTTAATTATTTTCCCTCATCTATGCAGAGATGTATCTCGTTTCATCAAGCGGTGTTCAGTTTGTCAACAATACAAGGACTACGGGTAGAATGTAGGCCTTTATACGCATCTTCCTATTCTGAAGATGATTTGGGAGGATCTAAGTTTTGACTTTATTTTTGGAGTTCCTCGGACCAAATATGGCATTGATTTTATTATGTTGGTTGTTGACAGATTTTTAAAAATGTCACATTTTATCGTTTGTAAGAAAACCTTCGGTGCTCTGCACATTGCTCATTTGTTTTTTGATGAAATTGTTCGTCTCCATGGTATACCAAGAAGTTTTACTTCAGATCGAGATGCAAGCTCAGAAGCCACTTTTGACTAGAATTGCGGAAGTGATGAACACTAGTTTACAGCTTAGTTCAGCTTACCATCACCAATCCGACGGGCAAACCGAAGTGGTGAACATGACACTTGGCAAAATGCTTCATTGTTTAGTCCAAGACCACCCCAAACAATGGGATGAAGTATTAAGCCAAGCAGAGTTTGCTTACAACTCCATGCCTAACCACTTGAATGGGCATAGTCCATTTAGCATTGTATACACTAAAGCATCTAATCATAAAGTGTATGTTGCTGTCCTTCCAAAATGTCGAAGTAAAATGGTGATTGATTTGGCAAACCAGTTTTCCAATATGTTGTCTAATGTTCGCAGCAAACTTCAAGTCTCCAATGAGCATTATAAGGCACAAGTTGATAAACATCGTCACTACAAAGTGTTCCATCCAGGCGAACTACTGTGGGTCTATCTCTGTCGAGAAAAATTTCCACCGAGAAAACATTTCCTTGCAAGATCAAAACAATTCCAATCCTCAAGAAAATCAACAAAAAAGTTTATATTGTCGATTTACCAAAACACCTTAATATTCCTTCCACATTTAATGTAGCTGATATTTTTCCTTAACATTCAGCTGATACTGACATAGATGATAAAACTAGGACTTGAGTTCTTCTAGTAATGGAGCAAGGTGATGCGGAGCATATTCAGCGACAAGAATAACCTATTCTACTTGTTATATTATAGTTACACTAGCAGTAACAACAACACTCTATTACTTCTTAAAACTCACACACAACACTCTCACCACAAGAGAATATGTAGCGCGCTCACACACGAAAAATAGTTCTGCTTGTTGCTAGTTCTTCTTCTTGTTCTGTTCTTCTTGCTTTATGG